CATCTAATAACCATATTGAAATGTCCTCAATCGTCTAAAAAGTGTTTTGCACACTGGTGTGTCTGAATCCGAACACCGACATACTGACCGAGCTGGCGCCTCATTTAACGTGAAGCATTTCCTCCCACCTTTCTTCACACACTGACTCAAAGAGCTGATCGCTGTTATGTAGAAGTCTTGCTCCCTTATTTATTGTTCCACTTAATTTCTCTTTTTATTATTGGATTGTGAATTTGCCTAATTTTTTGTATCCTCACCCAAGGATATTTTTTCATTGTTTTTAGAGAAAAGCGGGAGGGAGGGAGAGAGAGAGAGAGAGCAACATCGATCAGCTGCCTTCTCCTACCTGCCAACTGGGGATTGAACCCACAACCCTGGGATGTGCCCTGAATGGGAATCAAACCCAAGACCTTTCATTCTAGAAAACAATACCCCAACCAGCCGAGCCATACCAACCAGGAAGGTACAGTTAACCTAAAAATTTCTCTTGTATTCAGAAATCATTTCGGACTTTTAAAACGGCGCAAAACTAATATTAAGAACTACACACCATTAATCTAGTTTTCCTCAATGTTAACATTTTATGACACTTGTTTTATTCATCCTATATTTATTCTGAAACATTGGACAGAAAGCTGCAGATAAGATGCCCTTTGGCTCTAAATACCTCATTGTATTTCCAAAAAAAAAAGGATATTCTCTTATATAACAACAGGTCAAAATCAGGAAAAGATACAAGGCCAGTAACTAATCTACAGATCTTATTCAAATTTCATCAATTTTTCTTCTAATATCTTTTATCTAATATCCTTGTAATTCTATTTTAATACAGTTCTTACCTTTCTTGTCCCTTTAAAAACTGCTACTGCCGGTTGCTGTGATAGCAGTCCCCAGACTGGTTTACACATTAGGACCACTTGGAAATCTTCCAAAAATTCCTAGAGAAAATTCTTTCTAAAAAAAGATTTAGTTTATCTATTTTTAGAGAGAGGGGAAGGGAGGGAGAAAGAGGGGGAGAGAAACACCGCTGTGTGTGAGGGCAACACGAATCGGCTGCCTCCCCCACGTGCCCCACCCTGACTGGGCCTGCAACCCAGAAACAAGCCACAACTTGGGGACTGGGAGTCAAAGCGGCAGCCCCTTCACTTTGTGGAACAATGAGCAACCCACTGAGCCACCCTGGTCAGGACTAGAGAAAATTCTTCAAAAAAATTTGAAGGCATCGTGTGTCCTTAACTCAAACTCTATTACAAGGCTGTAGTAATGTAGTAATTAAAACTGTATGGAACTGACATGAAAACAGACACATAGATCAATGGAACAGAATAGAGAGCCCGAAATAAACCCTCACATATGTGTTCAATTAATTTATGATAAAGGAGCCAAAAAAACACAATGGAGAAAGGAGAGTCCAATCAATGGTGCTGAGAAAATAGGATGACCACATGCTAAAGAATGAAACTGGATTTTATGTTACACTATCTGCAAAAATTACCTTAAAATGGATTAAAGACTTGAACTCAAGACTTGAAACCATAAAACTCCTTTTTTGAATCGGACACCACAAGCAAAAATAAACAAGTGGACTACATCAAACTAAAACTTTCTGTACAGTAAAGGAAGCCACCAACAGAATGAAAAGGCAACCTACTGAATGGGAAAGAAATATCTGCAAATCATATAGCTGATAAAGGGTTAATATCTAAAATATATAAAGAACTCACACAACTCAACATCATAAAAACAAACACTGTGATTCAAAAAATGGGCAGAAGATATGAATAGACATTTTTCTAAAGAAGACATACAGATGGACAACAGGTGCATGAGAAGATGCTTAACATCACTAATCACCAGGAAAATGCAGGTCAAAAACCACAATATCACCTCACACCTGTTGGAATGGCTATTATAAAAGAAGACAAAAAACAACAAATACTGGCAAGGATGCTCAGAAAGGGGAACCCTTGCACATATTGGTGGGAATGCAAATTAGCGCAATCATTATGGAAAACAGTAAGGAGATTTCTCCCAAAATTCACAACTACTATGTAATCCAGCAATTCCCCTCCTTGGTATTTACCCAAGGAAAACAAAAACACTAATTTGAAAAGACATACATGCCCCCATGCTTATTGCAGCATTATTTAAAATACCAAGATATCGAAATAGCCTAAGTGTCCACCGGTGGATGGATGAATAAAGAAACCGTGAGAGATATATACGTGTGTAAATAGATAACTCAGCCATAAGAAAATAATGAGAGCTTGCCTTTTGCAACCACATGGCCCCACATGGATGGACTTAGAGGGAATTATGCTAAGTGAAATAAGTCAGACAGAGAAAGACAAATGCTGTGTGATCTCGCTCACATATGAAATCTGAAAACAAATAAACAGACACAATTCCAAGCTCAAAGACAGAGAGAACAGATCAGTGGTTGCAAGGGACAGGAAAGGAGAGCTGGGGGAAATGGGTGAACTATTTTTCTTTTTTGTTTCAGTAAATTAAACATATTTCTAAACCTAGGCCTGAGGAACTCTGGCATCAGTGGTTCCAAAGTTCCCCAGTGACTCCACCGTGCAGACAAATTTGGAAACTGCTGTGCTATTGTTAAAGGAAGTCTATGGCATATCACTCACAGTTTACTGAAATACTACTTGAACAAAGACCGGCAGTGCAGAGAGGTGAGGGGCAGACCATCACCACACTCAGAAAAGGATATTCCAGGCTCTCTGCCAGTCCAGGTAAACCACACTCTCCTTGGGGACTGTTTCCAGACCATTCCACCAAGAAGCAGCTAAGTTTAGAAGAGGCTAGGTCTGGTTTTCAGCCATCATGTCATTGTTCACTCCTTTCTTCAATTCCTGGCACATGGTAGAAGTTCGATAAATGTCAAAAGAATGAATAGGATCGTGATTTCCCCAACATGTTTTCTCAGGCCCGGAGAGCAGGGAGAAGCCACTAAAATTATTCGAAGAGTAGGCTGTTAGGCTAGTACAGAAGTTGGCGTTAGAGCAACTGGATTTACAGTAAGAGCTTTATCTTCGATTCTTATCAGATAAGTGAAAATCATGGCAGCTTCCAATGGTATACACAGACACACAGTCTTACCTTGTTAAAGTATCAAAAGCCTCCTCATCTCTCCCTAGGCCCACCTCTGCACAATCCAACACGAAGCCAGTCCCGTTAACTGTTCGCACTCCCACCACTGTGTAAGAGTTCAGCTTTGCATCAAGAGTAGGAAAGTATGTACAGCTGTGATGAGGGTCTTGGCAAACTGGGCACATTACCTCCTTCCCAAGAGGCAGCAGCTGCTCACCTCAACCAGAACCCAATTTGCCAGACCCACCCATTATTCAAAAGAAGCTAGAAATCCTGATACTGTGTAAAATCTTCCATGTTAGAAATGTCACCTCAAATTTGAACAGAAAAACAAAAAAGCCCTGTCTGGCCCAAGCAAACACAACTGTAAACTTCATCTGAGCACCACTGTGATCTCTGCCTTTAAGCCTCGGAGAACTCTTCCAAGGGTGGGTGTGGTCGTAGACAAGAGAGCCAGCACCTCGGGAAGAGCTGAACCTGTTTTGGGTGTTATCTCGTAAAAGTAAAACTGATTGCAATAAATTCTACACTGCTCTGGCTTTCTATTCAAATTCAATTTTACAAGTTTTTCCCTTAACATACTTGATCTTTTTCCCTAACAACATCAGCATACTTGTTTTCTTTGTTTTACTTTACATAATTTCTAAATAGTGCTATACATGTTAACAATTAATCTCCTTAATGAAGTTTAAGGTTTCTCTGCAGTTTCAGTTGTTCTTTTTCTTTTTATCCTCCCCTGAGAACATGCTTATTGATTTTTTTTTCCAAGAGAGAGGGGAGGGGAGGAAGAGAAGCAATGATGTGAGAGAGGAACAACTACCATCGGTCGCCTCTCCTACACACCTCGATCAGGACCGAAACCACGACCGAGACCTGTGCCCTGGCCAGAATTGAACCTGTGACCTTTCAGTTTACTGGATGATGCCCCAACCAACTAAGCCACACCAGCCAGGGCTCATTTGTTCTTAGAATATGTTCCACGGAGATATACAGTCTTACCACACTTTCTAAACTCTGAAGAGGCTCTCTTTAAGATTTGTAACCAACTCACCCATTTCTCCCTCTCCTTGAAAAAAGACGTAAATGAGGGTTTTCTGAAGTACAGATGTGCACAGGACTTAGGCGATCATCTCTGTAAACTTGAAGCTGGGAGCAGATACAACTGGCCACTAGGAAGAGTGTAATATGAGAGGGTGCAGAATCGCGGGGTACACAGACCCTTAGGGAATGGAGGAGCTAGAAATCTGGCACCAGCACCAAGTTGCTAAGAGCCTGGTAAAGAAGAAGGGGTTTTACATCACTTAGCGGAGCCACTGTGGTTCTCCGGGAGGAGGCCCTGTAACCCGCAGGGCGGTGAATTCCCCAAGGCCAGTGGGGACTTCGGAGCTTTTGCTAAAAAACGATGCTAGCCTCGGCAGTTGGTCGGAGCCACGTCTGGCATTTCAGAAAAGGTGGCTGAACACAGACCTAGGTTGCGGGTTCCATCCTGGTAGGGGGCGTGCGGGAGGCAACCAATGGAAGTTTCTGCATCAATATTTCTCTCCTCCCCTTCCTTTTTATTCCCAACATCAATAAACATTCCCCTCGGTGAGGATTTTTTTTTTTTTTTAAGTATGCTAGCCACAGAGCAAGGTGGCCTGACCAGGAGGAAGTCACCTGTGCAAAGTTGGGTCTGGACTTGGAGGAGAACGCGTCCCGGCGGGGAAGCGAACGTGCAGCAGCCTCGCGCAGCTCCGAACGGGGCTAGGATTCTAGGATTTCCCTTGGAGGACGCGCCTCCCGCCTCCCCGTCCTTTTGGTTTAGTTCTTTCGCGTTGAGTCTTAGGGAGCAGGCGCCACCACTTCTGCCACCAGCGCCCGAGGAAACAAGTGCCCAAGCGTTGGGTCGGACACCTCCCAAAGCCCTAGGTCCCCGCCCCCGTCGGGCGGGGCCTCCGCCCACTCCCCTCCCGGCCCGAGGCGCCGCTCGGTTTGCGGTTCCTGCGGTTAGCACGCGGGGTACGAGGCATGGAGGACGACCGCGGCCGGGAGGACTGCCTAGGTCGAGCCGTGTGCGTGCTGACCGGGGCCTCCCGCGGCTTCGGCCGGGTGCTGGCCCTGCTCCTGGGCCCGCGGCTATCTCCTGGCTCCGTGCTGGTCCTAAACGCCCGAAACGACGAGGCGCTGCGGCAGCTGGAGGCCGAGCTGGGCGCTGGGCGGGCGGGCCTGGTCGTGCTGCGAGTGCCCGGCGACCTGGGCGCCGAGGCCGGCTTGCAGCGGCTTCGTGACGCTCTGCGCCAGCTCCCCAGGCCCGAAGGGCTGCAGCGAGTGCTGCTGATCAACAACGCAGGTAAGACGGCCGTCGGCGGGAGACGGACTCGCCACGAGAGCGCTTGGAACACTCAGCGCCCCTTTCCTTTCTTCCTCGCACTGCCCCCACCGCTTGGAACTTGAAAGGTGACTGCTAGGAGTCAGAGAAGACGCCTGAAAAGGCCTAGTTTAAGCGAGGTGTAGAGGACGACCTGGTGCTGAATCCATCCCCACCCCCTTCGGCCCTCCGCCCTTCCTTTTTGAAAGCCAGGTTTTGTAAAACGCCTGTGGAACTTTCCCGATCCCCTTGCTCAGCGCCCTCTGGCGGAGGCCTGAGTCGGGGCATGAGGTTCTTCCCCCGCCCCCCGGCAAAACTAAATATCTGTGCTTCTGCGAATGGCCCCGGAGTTCTCCCCCAGCCCCAGAGCAGGGCCTTATCAGTCTGCAACTTGGAGTGAGTGGATGGCCCCGATGTGTGTGTGCCTGCAGAGCTGGGAAAAGAGAGGCTCCTTCAGAAGCACTAGGGAGATTCCTCCTATATGTCTGGATGGGAAGGTGGTGTCGAGGACTTTGGAGAGGGCTGGGGAAAGAAAAAGTACAACTTGCACTGGGTGATTCTTAAGGTCTTGTTTTCCAGGCAGTCTTGGGGATGTGTCCAAAGGCTTCGTTAATATAGCTGATGCAGCCGAAGTGAACAGCTACTGGGCTCTGAACTTGACATCTATGCTCTGCCTGACTTCCAGCATTCTGAAGGCCTTCCCAGACAGTCCTGGCCTCAGCAGGACTGTGGTTAACATCTCATCCCTCTGTGCCCTGCAACCTTTCAAGGGCTGGACACTGTACTGTGCAGGGAAGGCTGCCCGGGACATGATGTTCCAGGTGCTGGCCGAAGAGGAACCTAGTGTGAGGGTGCTGAACTATGCCCCAGGTGAGTGGGGCATTGCTGCCATCCCAGTCCCCCAGAACCAGCTGGTTTTCTCTGGGGGCTGGACAAGGTGCCTAGTCTGTCCCCTCCATATATATTGTACCTGAAGCATGGCCCATCACTCCTTAAGGGAAATACAGGACCCAGGGAGGCTAGAGATGGCAGGGGCAGGGAGCCCTAGTCAGAGGGGGGTTACAGAGAGAGCAAGGAGCTGCCTCAACTGGGGGCTGGGGCCAGAAAGTCTGAACTATTGGAGTTTGAGAGACAATTAGGGTTTCAATTTCAGGCCTGTGCCCCATTTCCTCATGTAAAGTAGAAGATTCTGCCTGTCTCACAGGGCAGTTTGGAAGACTGAATGAGGTAATATATGTGAAAAATAATTCCTAATTGTGAAGTGCTGTCTAATTGTTAGCACTCCTAATTGTTAAGTGGGACTCACTGCGCTGGGTTAACTTCATGTGTATACTTGTCTCCCTTGATAGGAAAGCCTTGAAGGCAGGGACTGTGCCTGACTGTCCCCAGCATCTAGGGAAGTACCCCACTGAGGCAGTCTGCAGAAAATATTACTTGAATGAAAAGCACACAAGCATTGTTGAATGCTGACATTCAACTCAGGCTCAGCTGTGCTGCAACACTGGTGCGGGGGAGGGGTGGCGGAGAGGATGCTGGGTAAATGAGATGGAGTCCTCACAGAAGTCAAAGGGTAGTGGACCTTGTAAGGCTTGATCTGGTTTCTCCCCACCCCACTGTGATGCCACTGTGCCTCTTCCTTAGAAGTGAGGCTTCTGCTCTAGGCTTGAGGTTGCTGCAATTAGAACGTGGTGACAGCTATTGTATAATGTCTGAGCAACTCAGATAGAGACCCAGTAATTATTCATCTTGGCACCCTGGGGGCAAAGAGGTAGAATGACCAGACCAAAGCCCAGGTGTGGCAGAACCAGGATCAAACCTTGTCTCCAAATTCACAGTCAGTGAATTTGGCCATTTCTACTTCCTCATGCTTTCTAGTGCCCAGGTCGTCCTCCCTAACACACACACACACACACACACACACACACACACACACACACAGTTGCGCTTCCAGCCAGCATCCAGCTTGGCACCCAGTCTGAGCTCAGCCTAGGATATGTTCAGTCAACACTGAGCAAATGGAAACCACTGCCAGGAGTAGAGCGGACTCCGGAATGCTGTGTGACTGCTCTAGATCTCAGGGAAGTAAGAGGAACTTCAACTCTGTGCCAGGCCACCAGGGCCTGCATGAAGGCTGAGATCAGTCCCGGTTTTATATCAGTCTCCTAAAGAATGTTCTACCAGGTGTCCAAAAGGGGGATAAGCTGTTTGGAAAGGTAGCAAGTCCCCACATAGCAGGGATGCACAGGTGGTTGAAAGACATTTGAGGCTCAGGAGGCTAATTTTTCCAATCCTGAGATTCCTGCATTTTCTGCCCTTGAAGCCCATTAACTCCAAATTCTTGGGTGCTGTGGTTCCTGTATGAAAAACAGGAAGTATCTGTAGAAGTTCATGGACATCACCTCAGGAGGAGGCACTGGTTGTACACATGTTGGTCTGGAAGGACCGTGTTCAGTGGGCACTGGAATTCGAATGAGTCTGGAGCTCATCGGTGACACAGTGGAGCCTGTGTTGACTCTGACCACGCATGTTAGCCAATAAGGTGTTGCCTCTGGCCAGACTTGAGTCCATCCCACTTCACACAGACAGCAGGGCCCTTGCCTCAGCTACTCCCTTCATCTTCTGCTCTTTGCTCCTTAGGGCCTCTGGACACAGACATGCAGCAGCTGGCCCGAGAGACCTCTGTAGACGAAGACTTGCGGAAAAGGCTGCAGGAGCTGAAGACGGAGGGGAAGCTGGTGGATTGTAGGGTGTCAGCCCATAAACTGCTAAGTTTGCTGCAAAAGGATACGTTCAAGTCTGGAGCTCATATTGACTTCTACGATAAATAAGCCCAGATCCTTGGCTTCCTAGGGCTCTCCTCTCCCTCTTTCAGGCAGACCCAGAGGCCCTGTGCCTCCCCACATCCTGTCACAGTGGCACCACGAGCCCTGCATTACACAGATAAGTGCTCCTGCCTACTGCCCTTCGCTCAGACCCTGCCAGCTTCGGGGTCACTGGGGCACCCGGTTTTCAGGAGTCTGTGTTGAGCACTCTGAGTTAGGAGGAAGTTTGGGAGAGAGAACTTATGGGTATTGGTGTTCTCTAGGAATATAATTTTAAGGATGGGAAAGTAGGACGAGGAGCTGAAACACTTCAGAAGCTGAAGAGAGAGGGTTGGATCTCTTCATGGCCAGTCCGTGGGGAAAGTTGGGTAAGCTACTTCAGATAGGAGGGACCAGTAGATTCCTGAATAGCCTGGAAGGGAGGGAGGACTGTGCATGTTTTGGCCCACAGGGATGCCTTTTACTCAGGGTAGCAGGACCTTCTGTTGAACTTCATGGCCTCATTCCAATGCCTTCTCCCTCCAGAACCTACTATTTGTTCTGCAGATGGGGTAGGGGCTGAGAGTTTTTGTACACGGCAAAGGCAAATACAAATAAAGTGTGAATTATCCTTTATTAGTGCCTGGAGTACAGTAATGCCTGTGATACAGGGCCCATGCCTGACTCCCTGGTTTGCAGGGGCCAGAGATTGTTCCTGAGGCAATTAACCTGAACTCGGGATGCTGCCCTTATTTCCAGGGGAGTTGTCTGGGGGCTGCGAGCCTCTTCTCACTGAGTCCCACCCAGTGGCAGCCCAGGTTCAAACAGAGTGGCCGAGACGGGCATATCCAGACACCTGCTCCTTCATGCTTTTGCCCACAGTGCTCCCAATCTTTGCTGAGCCTCTCCACCCCTGACTTTACTCAAATAGTGTCCAGCCTTCAGGGAGGGGTCATTCCCCTGGCTCTTTCGGATTCCCATTTCTGCCCCTTGCCCACATGGCAATGCTCTGAATGGGTCTTACCTCCTCAGTGGCCTTACGGGTAGTACCTCCTTTTCCCACGGTCCTGGGCTTCAGTGGGGTGGGCCTAGGGCCAACGCACCATAGGGGAAGGTGAGCCCTGAGAAACCAGGTGTAGGACCAAATCCATCCTTCTTCAGGTGGGTAGATGTGGGCAAGCTGGGAGCTCTGCAGTGGTGGTCTACAGCCCACCAGCCCCTTCCTGGCCAGTATTTGGGAGGAGAGAGCATGGTCCCTGCCAGCCACCTCCGGGACTCAGCCCTGGGTCTGATCGTGCAGGAGGGAACTCCCTGCTCCTCGTTGTGCACAGCAGAGGGCGCACTGAGGCTGTGCTTCCTAGAGAAATCCTAGCAGCTCCTTTGGCTGGAGGGAGGTCCTGGGCCTGAACTGGCCATGCCCTGCTGGGTTTCCTAGAGGGGAGCAAGCAATCCACACTTTTTTTCACTCAGCAGAGCCTTTTTACTCACTGGAGTCAACATCACTACACAGATACCTGCTCTGCCATTCGCCAACTGTAAACCAGGGCAACTGGCCTTTCTGTGCCTCAATTTCCCATCCGAAAAATGTGGATTAGCTCTGGTGTGGCTCAGTTGGTTGGACGTTGCCCCACAAAGCAAAAGGTTGCTGGTTCAATTCCAGGTCAGGATACTTGCCTGGGTTTCAGGTTCGGTCCCAGGTTAGGGTGCATATGAGAGGCAACCCATCTCTCTCACATCTGTTTCTCTCCCTCTCTCTCTCCCTTCCCCCCCACTCTCTAAAAGTAAATAAATAGCTCTGGCTGGTATGGCTCAGTGGATTGAGCCCCAGCCTATGAACCAAGGGTTGTTGGTTCAATTCCCAGTCAAGGCACATGCCTGGGTTACAGGTCAGGTCCCCAGTAGGGGGCGTGCGAGAGGCAACCACACATTGATGTTTCTGTTTCTCTTTTTCTCCTTCCCTTCTCTCTAAAAATAAAGAGATAAAAATCTTTAAAAAAACAAAAACAAGTAACATTTTTAAATAAAAATCAATAAAACTGAATTATACGGTGACTTCCTCAGAGGGTCATTGTATTAAATAACCCCATCTAGGAAACGTTAAGCAGTGTTTGCCCCCTAGGTGCTAATATTAGTCATTGCTTTTTACTATCAATATCCAGATCATCCTGGAGCCCCACGTGCAGCCCCACCCCTTCCACGTGGCCCGGGTGCCCTCCTTGCTAACCTGAGGCCAGAACTCTCACTGTGCTGCTCCTTTTCTGGGCCTCAGTGGGTTGGGGGTTCAGTCTGGACAGTTTGCCTTGCACTCACTGGACCCATGGGAAAATGCATGAACCTTGACGTCAACAGCCCTCTGTCTAACTTGTTTCTGTGATGGAGACGCTGTGAGGTCTCAAAGAGGGTCCTCTCCCTTTCTGGGCTTAGAACAGATGAGCTCTCACATTCCTCCCTGTAAACCTTTCTCCAGGTTGTTTCAAACATGGTCAGGCTGCATCTGAGGGTATCAGGTTTGCCTCTGCAGGTGGGGCTGGGCCAGCCTTGGTGGCCCCTTGCTTCCATGGAAGTGTGTGGGCGGTAAGCACCAGCCCAACCCCTATCTCAGTGGATGCTCAGGCAAGGGTTTCTCTCCCCACCAGGCCGGTTATCCAGGACTTAGGGAGCAGTACCACATGTTCCCGCAAGGTGGCGAGAACCTCATGCCTGACACTAGTCCTCTCTGAGCCCAGGATTTAAGAGCCTTGGAAATGACTCTAGAGCTGTCTCTCTTTCTTCTTGTCCTCTAGTATTCTGGGTTCTCAGGGGCCCTCAGGGAGCAGGGGAAACAGAAGGGGCCAGGATCACTTTCCCCGGCAGGCTCCCAGGCCTCTTTAGTGACCCATGAGCACCGGCTACAGGGATTTCCCAGGCCTCCATCCTTGGCCTGGACTTGGCCTCTCCAGGTCCTACACCACTGGGGCAGGGAGATGTTCTCGTCAGGCGTGGGGCCATGAGCAGGCACCCCCCAGAGAGTTAACAGTCTGTGTTCCCAGAATGCATGGCCTGGCCTTGGCCACGACACACAGGGGCACATGCAAGCACACACAATACATGCCTGCACATGCCCGGAGCCCAGCTGTCAGGTCGAGCAGGGCTTCAGATTAGCCAAAAGACAAACAAGGGTTTTCTTTGTCTTTGGCATGCACAAGCTGGGTGATGTTTTGGTTTTGTGTTTAATGTGCCTGAGCTGGGGGCCAGCAGCTGGCCTGTGAGGGTCAGGGAAGTAGGGAGAATATTCCAGGCCCACCCCAGGGATTTCTAGCACCTCTGTCTGTGAGCATGACCAGCTGGGACTAGGCTGGTCAGATGCCCCTCGCTTCCCCCCCCCAATTCCTGTCCTTTGTCCCTCGAATACAATGCAGGCTGGTGCTTGGACCCATTGTTAGCCAAGCCTGGAGGTGCCCAGCTGCTCCTTCCTCCCTACTTGGAACCACACCTCCAGGTCATGCTCCATCCTAGCATCTCCCCATGACTCGCCTCAGGAAGTTGGGCTCTAGGGAACTGCCCTCAGCCTCCTTCACGGGAACCACAGCCTCTCCCCACAGGACACGGCCTCCGGCACTAACATGTCTAATAAGTCCCGGTCATGCAGCACATGTATGCTCCTATGTAACATGCCCAAGACATGCCCAAGCTGTGCTCCTTCACCAGTGAAGTCCGTGTGGTGACAGGGAGGTCGCTAGAGTAGGGACCCCATGGGGTGACACCTGGCCAGTCCCCACGGAATCCCTCAGTGATCCGGGTGTTGGGGAGGTGGGGAATGGATCAGGCCATTGGGTAGCTTGCAGGGAATTTCAGTAAGGAATCACTCCAAGCCTCAGGCCAGCTGGAGAAGGGTTAAAGGGCGGCTACGGAGAGGATGGAGTGGCCGTCCTTGCTCCCCCACCCCAAACTCCAGGTCCTGCCCAGCTACAGTGCTGGGAGGTGGGGCCGAGCCTGGATGTTGTCCCTGATCACTGAAGGAGAGTCCACCTCCCCACCCCACACCCAGAATTATTGTTACTTCCCAGCAAGACTCCCCTGCTTTGCTCTTTGTCTCCCAGTTCGCCCATCCTCACGCACTGCCCCGCAGCCCCATCTGCCCTCAGTGTGAGAAAGGAGAAGCCTGGACTTCTACTTTCAGGGAGGGGTTGGGAAGGAGGAAGTGAGGGAGAAGAAAGTTACTCTTGAACCTTGGGGCTGCACCTTTCGGGCCTTTCCTGAGAGCGAGACTCACACAGGGTGAGCAGGACAGTGCGAGGAGACAGAGAATCGGAACACGCACAGGCAGGAAACAGACAGCAACGGGAAGGTGAGAAAGCACAGTAAGGCCGAGGGCTGCAGCCGACCCCGCCAGCGTGGGCGAAATGCCATGGTCTGGGGAGGTGCGCACACAGTTCAACAGACAGATGGTGTGTTATAGAACTGTACACCTGAAACCTATATAATTTTATTAACTGATGCCACCCCAATACATTCAATAAATAAATTTTAAAAAGAAAGTATAGTCAGAAAGACAGATTTTGATGGAGGGAGAAAGATCGCAGGAGGAGCCGCACACACTCACACACTCGTACACTTTCTTTGCCTCACACTCACACACACCCGGGCGCATGCTCACGCAGCCTTCCTGAGCCTCGCTGGAAATAATCCCGCTCTTGACGCGGGGCCTCAGCTGCACAGGCGGTGCCGAGCTGTTACCTTGCACATCTGTCAGCTCCAAATGTGGAAGCTGTCACAGGGTTGTGTGTGTGTGTGAGTGCGAGAGAGTGTGTGCGCGTGTCTGTTCCTCCCAGAGAATTCTGAGGCCTTGGCGGGGGCAGAGGGAGATCCCCGAGGACTTGGAGGCTCTCCAGGAAGTCCACACCCCGGGAAGCAGGTGCCACTCTTTCCTGTCCTGCACGGGAAAGCCCAGGGGCTGCCCGGCGTTAGGAGCCAGCCCACTAGACTCAACTTCGGCTCCTGTGGCCTGGCCTGGCCACGAACAGCCATGTGGCCCTGGTCTTCTCACTTGTCAGGTGGGGGTGTAAAGTAGCCAGGCCACCTGGATCCCAGAGGGGAGGGGAGGAGCACCTGGCCTGGTGTGCGTTGGTCACTCCTGGGGCATCGGGGATTCTTAGCAACCTGCCTCTTATAGCTGAGAATTCCCTCTGTGCCTGGCTCCTGACTCCTAGTGAGTCCCCCACCACAGGGGTCCCTCTAGTGTGGCACTGAGGACATTGCCCTCCTCTGGCCTGCTCTTCTCCCAGCTGTTTTCCCAGCCGAACCTGAGGATGTGCCCTGGGCACTGACTCTGGGCTGTAGAGATCTGACAACCTCAGACCCTGAGCCTCTAAGCACAGAGGAGTTCGGCACAAAGCCCAGGGACAGCGAATGTTTAATTAACCCTTTCTTGTAAGGATCCTTGGGTAGGACCCTGAGCTCTTTCTCTCTGATGACCCTGTCCAGGTTTTCATCTCTCGTGTCTCAGGAAGCTCTTCTGTGCATTTGCACTCCCACCTGCCTTATCTAAGCTGGTCATAACGAGAGTTTACAGCAATGAGGAAGCGGTCCCAGAACTATCCAGCAAGTCCCTTCACTTTTCACTCTAAGTAAGACAAAACAGGGACCCTGACCAAAGGGACCCACCCCCTCTGCCAGGGCCCTTTCCACAATGCCATGCCCAGCTAGGCTGAGCCTCCTCCAACGCCATGCCCACCTAGGCTGAGCCTCCTCCAACTTGCAGAACTGGCCCTCTCCAGAGGTAGAGGGTACAGAGGCCCTGTCACCCACCCCACGGGCTGGCCACCTTACCCCGGCCCAGCCTCCTCGAAGCCCATCCCAACCCCCAGGCCTTCTCTCTGGCTCCCCTCGGATCCACCACTGTTTCTGCCTAGAGGTTGGGTGGGACATTCTAGGCAGGCTGTGGGTTCTCACGTTGCTCAAAGCGGGGTGTTCTAGGAGAGCAGATGAGGCCTGCGCCCACAGATCTGGGGCTTGATCCCTGTCCTTTGGGGAAGTGAAAGGCTGTCATTGGGGTGTGCTCCCTCCTGGGGCTGGGGTCTCTGTGTACACACATAAGGGTGTATATGAACCACACGTGGGCCAGCCCGAGGCCCCAGCTGTGTGTGTGTGTGTGTGTGTGTGTGTGTGTGTGTGTGTGATTCTCTGCCATTTTAGCATTAACATTAACCACACAGGCGCTTTAACTGTGCTGGTGCCTGGAGCAGGGGGCTTGTGTAGTTGCGTGTGTACCTATATGTAAGCATTTTGATGGGAGACTGCCTGATAACAGTGTGTGCATACAAATGCAGGTTTGGGTGTACAGTCACAGGTACATACCTGTGAGACCATTGTGTGAACGTGAATGCAGGTGTAAACTACTGTGAGTGCACATCTGCATTAACATTTTAATAACAATGGGTTTGTGTGTTTAAACTATGAATGCGTGCAACAGTGTGCATACCTGTGATCTTGTGTGATTGTAGTCACACACCATGTCGCTTGGTTGCTCTCAGTTTATGGCTGGGGGTGCACATGTACACCTGAGACAGGCTATTGCCCTGCAAGGTGAACCTGAACAAAATTGTGCATGCAATTTAACCAGCATGTGTCTGTCTGTCTGTCTGTCTGTGATTTTGACATGGTGCAGGTGTTCCTGGGTAAGTGGGTGTGTTTGGGTGTGTGACTGTGGGACAAGTGTCGACGAACTCCAGCCACCCCTTAAGCCACGTCCAGTGAAAAGGAAACGTGCAAACGTGTTTGTTAAACATCACGCAGAAGAGCGACCAGACGCTGGGCCGCTGCGCTAGGAGTAGACCGAGGAAGCCTCGTGCTCCCCCTCCCTCCTCCCTCCAGCATCTCGGCCCCTCTCTGGCATTGCTCCCTCACACCTAAGCCCAATGGTGTTCTGCAGTCTTTCAGCTGTTACCTCAGTCCCTCCTCGCCTCATTCCCGATTCACTCCGTTGCTATAGGTATGTTTGAAACCCCAGCGTGGTAGATTTTAATTAGTCTTCCTACAGATGGCCAATTAACAT